GCTTGTAGACTTGTTTGTTTTTGGTTCTTGTCGTTGTTTTTTAACTTTTTGAAAAACCAAACTCTTAAATACATCAACCAAGAGGACTGTTTCACCAAACATGTATTGTTCAAGTCATTGCCTTAAAAAACAGCTTATGAACATGATAGATTAAAAAGGAAGATGTGTGTCCTTCGATCCAGGGGAGAAAGACGAAGGGGGAGGGACGTGGGTGACCGAGGCCCGATGCTGGGGCCTGTGACGTGGAAAAGTTGGATCCGGGCAACATTTACTCCACCCCCCCCCCCCCCAGGAAGGCAGCAGCGTCACATTCCGAGGTGTGGACTCGCCCAGGTGCACACCCCCCAGGTGGATTGATTCGCTGTGATCCACTGTGACCACAGCCTCGCCTTGCACCACAGGTGGCTCTAAGTCACGTGACCCAGCACATCAGGGTGTGAGTCTGAGACTGGGGTGCTCTGAGCTCTCATCCGGCACGTGCCACCTTCTCCCGGGGAGACCGGAGCAGCTCCTTTTAAATCTCCGGGGAAATCATTTTATCCTGGGGAGGCGACCCTGTTCGTTACCATGGTCTATAGCAGCGGTTCTCAACCTGTGGGTCGCGACCCCTTGGGGGTCGAACGACCCTTTCACAGGGGTCGCCTAAGACCATCGGAAAACACATATATAATTACATATTGTTTTTGTGATGAATCACTATGCTTTACTTATGTTCAATTTGTAACAATGAGAATACATCCTGCATATCAGATATTTACATGGCGATTCATAACAGTAGCAAAATGACAGTTATGAAGTAGCAACGAAAATAATTTCATGGTTGGGGGTCTCCACCACATGAGGAACTGTATTAAAGGGTCGCGGCCTTAGGAAGGTTGAGAACCGCTGTCTATATTAATCACACTGGGTTTTATATTAGGATGTGACAGTCATAAACTGAAGCTCTGGGTCTTGGTGTCTTCCGCCTTTCGGAGAAAACACATCTGGCCCTGGCCGGTTCGGCTCAGTGGATAGAGCGTCGGCCTGCGGGCCAAAGGGTCCCGGGTTCGATTACGGTCAAGGACATGTACCTTGACTGCAGGCTCCTCCCCAGCCCGGGGCCTGGTTGGGACGCGTGCAGGAGGCAACCAATCAGTGTGTTTCTCTCACATCGATGTTGCTCTCTCCTCTCTGTCTTTCCCTCTCTCAAAGATCAATGGAAAAATATCCTCGGTTGAGGATTAACAAAGAGAGAGAGAGAGAGAGAGAGAACATATCTGTGTCCAACTTGGGTTTGGCAATGAGAGTCATCAGAGCCTGGTCCACAGGAACCAGCGTGTGACGCCCGTGATGGGCGCTCCGCACACAGAGACGCGTGCACACACCTCCAGGCCCACCCGAGAGCGAGCGAGGGACCCTCTCGTTCTGTGGCGCTTTCACGTTCACACGGCACGTGGAGCTCGCTTTCCTCGGGGCCTACTTAACACGGGAATAAAGTGGAGACTATTCGCGCTCCATGAATTTCAATCACAAAATCACATGGAAAGAAATCCACCTGCGTGAGGAGGAGAACCGTCCTCTTGGCGTAGCAAACAATGATTATAACAGTGATGTCACCGCAAACGTACACGCAGCTCTCTCCTGCAAGCTTAATGCGTCTGCCTGCTCCTGTTCCCGGGATTCTAAGGAAGAGGGCGGTGCTGGTCTTGCAAAGGGAGAAATGCTGGGATCAGGGTGGGGTCCCTCATGTCGCACTGGGAGACCCTCCCAACTTCCTCA